CTCTGCGCATGCGCAGAGGTGGCACATGCAAGCAAAGCGCATGCATGCTCATGCTCACATTTACGAACTGGTAGCGAAGGTAAATTGATTTTACCCCGGGCTAGCACCAATTAAACGGCAATCCATCTCAACATAAGTTAAACAAAGATACCAGCATATAAAATGGCACAAATTTATACAGATGGCAATGGGGAAAGTTCCTAAAGCTCCTGAAAAATAGAAAAAGGAAAATGTAACTGGATAGAGCATTTTACAACTATAGTTCTGCTATTAGAGAAGCCTTGTCTTTTTCAGTTGAACCAGAGACCACAGCCTTGGACTCAGAATTCAGAGTTTGATATTTGAGAGAATGGTCTTAGCTATGTAAAGCTTCAAATAATCTCCTACAACTGTTTTCCAACCATATTCTAAGGAAATCCTGGTTTCCTGGGGAGCTTGTTGGGATCTGCAGAGTTCCAGGAGATTCCAGGACATTGACATTTCAATTTAGAAAGAAAAAGAAATAAAAAAGAAATTCCAAAGTGGGCAGGAGAATAAAGTAGAGGAATTGACTTGCTCCAACTGTTAACAGGCGAGGGTTAACTTTTTAAGCATTTAGCAGCAAAGAGGGATTTAGGATGAATGCATGTTGAACTTTTCTCACTATGCACTATTATAATATGTTCTGATCCAGGCTACAGATACACTATGATGTTTTTGCAGAGTACGTATACACACACACACACACACACACACACACACACACACACACGGACTCTCTCTCTATGTGTCTGTTTGTATAATGTCTACATATACAGTATTTCTATCCATATATTTATATTGACACTGACATACACTCATATTTCCAACATGCCATCATTCAGTCTGTGGTAAAACTAATAAATAAACAATATAACAGAGACAAAGTTTACCAATAGGGGTTGTTTGATTTCTAGAACCTTGCATTACTACTATGCCTTTATCTTTTTCTTCAACTGTTTATTCCAATGTACAATGCTAAATTGTTAAACTTGCCAAAGATTATTATGATGAAGGTTAATTTAGCTCGATATTGAAATATTTACTGATATTTACTTACAGATCACTATTTGACCAGGATGAGGAAAAATGATGCACATTAATGTTCACAATTTACAAGTTCTCTTAATATTGTGATGGTTGTTGTACAGGTTAAAATTCTTTCCAATAGTAATACAGAATGGTCTGAAATTCTTACAAGATTACTGTGTTCTTTTATGGGTTGGTTTCTGAACACATTGATTTTAAGATTCCAAATGTTATAAAGTCATCACCTCAATCTGACGCAGGAATGCATCTGTCAATGCAGGATCAGAAACATGGACTGTGGTGTCCAGGAGTCGCTGAGCTGATGGTTTCCACAGCTGACACTCCCTCAGGGGGTTTTGGAAGCGCTGCCTCAATTCTGTTTCAATCTCCGTGCTTAATTTAAACATTTTCCCCTTCAGACTGCAAAAATAAATTAACAAAATTATGAAGTTTTATTAATGAATTATGAAGGATTTCATTTCTTCCTTTGCAGAAAGGTGAAGTGAATTCCAAGTTGGACTGAAAGGGACGAAAAGTCGGCCCATTTAATCTGTTTTCTTAACACAAAGCAGCTGTGTTTCTGCTTCCCGTATTCTCCTGGCTTCTTCTTTCCACAGCTGCCTTTGCCAATCAGATAATCCACAAAACCGTTTTAGATGCCCAGATGCATGTTATTTGCACCTGCTGCAGGGAATTACAAGAAGCTAGCTGTGCAGCTTGGATTCACCAATAGCCTCTTAAGGATCAACTTTAAGATCCATACAGCCACCATCTATTACAGGCCTAGAGCAGAAAGACAAGAGACACTAAAGGGGGAAATTAACTACCAAAAGGAGGATTTTCCCCTTAACACTGAAGAACATAGTGCTTATGGTGATATTTATTCATATGACTTTGTATCATCTTACAGAGATGTCCTAAGGTATTTACAATTCAAGACATACATCACTGAAATCTAGTTTTAAATTAAGCCACATAGTCATAATATTAAAATTATCTAATTTATTTACAAATAACAATTAACAAGAAATATGCACAGTAAGTATTGAGGGAGCCCAATTTAGCAATATTCTCCATTCTGGGATTCCCTCGTTAGCTAGGCTGGCAGAGTGCATCATCTTGTCTGTATTTGAACTAACTTATTTAGTAGGATACTGAAATAATATTGAATCTTATCCTCACTAATGAGATGCGTTTACACCAGGGGAAGTCAACCTTTTTATACCTACCGCCCACTTTTGTCTCTCTTTTAGTAGTAAAATTTTCTTACCGCCCACTGGTTCCACAGTAATGGTGATTTATAAAGTAGGGAAGTAACTTTACTTTATAAAATTTATAAAGCACAGTTACAGCAAACCCCTACCGCCCACCATGAAAGCTGGAACGCCCACTAGTGGGCGGTAGGGACCAGGTTGACTATCACTAGTTTACACAATAAGGCATGTGATCAAGGTTAAAACTTAGCAGCTGGAGCAAGAAGTGCAGACACAAGGTTAAGTGTGTTTATTGTGTTTCTATATATTATATTGTCTGCATGTACAAAATATTGGACTCAAAGTATGAGGCTGGGATGATAGTTCTTTTTCTTTCCCCATTCTACTCTTTAAAAAAGTAGAAAGGTCACTTTGATTTGTCAGAGTCAACAGGTGTGTTTTGTGGCTCCTTCTGCTAATTTTAGCACTAACAAACTGAAAATGTTCTCTTTAGAATGAACTAGCCGTACCTGAATCTACGTGGTGCAAAATACCTAGAAAATGTAGTTATGTATACGGTTCAACTCCAAAAAGCACAGTTTTGGCTACTGTTTAAAAAAATTATTTAGTTATTTTGTATTAAGAAGTTATTGACGGTTTGCCTCTGAGCATACCTGTTAACAGTGTTTTGTGTGAACTCTGAGGGCATGTTGAATTCTGTTTGTGTATTAGTTGAAAAAAAATACTGGTTTGTGTTTAAATGTGAACAAAATTAAGGTGTCTGCAGGTGTCTGGCTCCTTCTATCCACTGACTGAAAAAGAAAAACTTGCTTTTACTTGCAGAAAATTCCAACCTGCTTGTGTCTCTGGCTCACAACCTGAGGCACAGCTTATTTCTAATTTCATTCTCCAGCTTGAAGGGACCTGGCAGGCAGTAATGGCCAATACACAGGTTTTTAGAAAACAAACATGAAGCTTTCCTTAGGAAACATATTTTGTTTTCAGTTAAACAAAACAAGAGAAAAGGCATTATCCCACTCGGCATGCCATAATGCTCTTGTGATAGTAGTTATCCTGTAAGGACAGTTTATGTTTAACGTAATTTTGGAAAGGCACAAGTCCTTTGATCACTACCTTCACTGTTGTTTCTTCTGTCTCTTCATAATCATTAGTGAGATTATCATTTCGTAAAAAGGAAACAATGCCTCTTTGGAAGATGATACCAACTATCTGTCATCTCTACTGTGGCAAATGTTCAAACTTTCCATTCTTACTTTTCTTCATTGGCAAGAATCCCAGACTTGCTTCCTTAACTTGGAATTAATGTTTCTCCTGCAGTAACTAATTTCATTAACAGAAAGCCTTTTTAGCTTGCCAAAACAGTCCATGCTTGTCACAAGAAAGCCAGTTTTTAGATACAAACATTTGTCTGTGCCTTAACCAGCTGTTGACAACCCTTTTTCCAGATCTGAAAAAAAGATTATGCAGATAATTTCCTGACTGCACTTAGCATGGAAGCAAAAATGTTTTAGTAAAGCTAGAAGTGGGAGGGGGGAATATGTCTATCCAGAAAAATATGCATGGGGAAAAAATCAGCAAATAACACATGGAGAAAAAGTTTTCTTATAATTAGTGTTGCTACCTGCATAATATTTGGCTAACACTTCTAATAATATTAACACATATACACAAGTACAGGACAACACACAATAAGGTAATGACTTATACAGTATGAGCCAGTGATTCAATTATTTTGCTCCCTTTTCAAAGAATCCTCCCATGTCCAGACTTCCAAAAAGCAGGAGGTAAAGTGGGATACAGAGTTAACTAGAATGATTTTTCCTTCCCTTTTCCTTTCCTCTCTCTTCATTGTCCCTTGTATCATCCATAACAAGACAGCAGTCCAAAAAGCAGATATAATATTTCTTGCATTTCTCAGAAGATCGTTCAAGATGACTCAGTATTCTCAATATTAACTAGTTTTCTAGTTTTCTGACCACTTTTCTAGTTGGGCAGTGTTTCATTTTGGAAACTGGCAGTTGTACAACTATAGCTTTTCCTAATCAAAAGTTACTGGTAAGGAAAAGCTACAAAGCCAACCCATGATTAAGATCTCAAAGCTGAAATAAATCAACATTCTATAACAAGCCATGGATGGGACCCACCATCATTTCAGGAAAAAGTCATAATGCTACAATACAGCTCCCGATGCAGGTAGAACGGGAAAAAAATTAGTTTGAAATTCTGCTGAGTTACTGTCAGTCAGTAGAAGATAGAGAATTAGATGACCAAAGAACTGATTCCATAAAAGGCATTTTTGTATGTTCACAGATCATCCTGAATCATCAATGTCATTGTCTGCCAAGAAAAGTCAGAAAGCACATCCTAGGAATGTGGATAGCAAATGTCTCTGACATGAGAGCATAAACCACATTATATGCCTCTTTGCAAAAAGTTGGAATATTTTCAGTCTTAAGGGTTGTTTTTAAAAAACTGCAAAGTAATGATAAAGAAACAGATTTAATTTTTAGGAGGATGTGAAAAAGACATTTATTTGAACAGCCAGATGAGAGGGTATTTTGAAAGCAGATGCAGGTTTCCTTATATTATTATATCTGCCCAAATTCCCTTCATGACAGGATTACTATGCAGTGATTACACTGAAAAATATCCCATTATTTTCCAATCATACATATATGTTGGTGCCTACATTCTACCTATTACATGGGTGTTATTTCATAATGTTCCATCTAGAAATTGAGAGCCAGTTTAAAATGATCAACTTATCACCAGGGCTGGGAGATGTTTGACAGGCCTCTACAAATCTCTCTTTCTTGTGATTTG